TTCCTCTTGCCTTTCCACTTACCTTATTCTCCTTAATTTTCAAGACCCATCTATGGTCCTAAGACCCACTCTTGTAAGAGTGGCTCAGGGAAAGGGTCATGCCTTCTTATGTGACAGTGGTATATAAAAGATGGCCTATTCTGGCTGCTCCCAGTCATCAGACCCCTCAGATCCTACATTCTTCTTCTTTCCTAAAGTCGTCAGACCCCTCAGATCCTACATTCTTCTTCTTCCTTCTGAACTTCCTTTGTGAAATTTACTTGAATTTTTCCTTCTCTATCTTCTCACCAACAACCTAAGCAACACCCCCTCACTCTCACCCTCCCCACCCCACACACATACACACTTCAATTGCTGTTTAGTCTTGGTGTACAAATTGTTCTCAATAAGGGTTCAAGATGGCCTGGAACTTCCAATGAGGCTTCTCTTCAAATAATTGATTCAAAAGACCTTGGTGATGAGGATGAAAATGAGGCCAGCAGGAAAGAAAGTACCAGACGTAAAAGTTCCAGAAACCATTGTTCATTCCCAAACACACAAATTGGAAAGAGTTGCCATTTTGGTTCTAAATTTTATATGCTCAAAATTACCTCTGTTTGTTAAAAGGACTTCCAAAAGTAATATTTTCTTCTACTGTAGCATTTAATAGCCAAGGCTTTTGAGCTGCATACGCCACAGAATACCTGTTCCTACTGAAAAATGAAAAAGAAAAATAGAACACCAGGATTATGCAAGGGTACTGTGCGTGTATGTATTTTACTATAGATAAGGGAAATAAAATTAGTAAACTATCTCAGACACAGAAATGGAAAACTTCTAAAAGAGAAAAATTTAAAGACCACCAACCTTATTAAGAAATGATTAAATATGCCACCTAAATTAAAGGGATTAGGATTTAATAAAAATGTCACATGTATAAAATTGGTTCGTACACTGAAGAAGTGTTTTATAATCTAAACAACTAATTGAATTTTCCTTTTCTAAAGTGACTACAATTTTTAAAAAATAATTAAAAGATTAATAACAATTCACTCACTCCAATAACCACAGATATTTTACTTTATACTAATAACACTTTACTAACTATAAATTCTACATGCAAACTTTAAAAAATATGTTAATTGATACTATAATTATTGTATGGCTTTGTGGCTTAATCACATTAACATATTTTATGGTAATAGATAATATGTAAATATTTCAAAACAAAGAATATCTTAAGAAGCCCCTGAAACTTTCAATATTGAAATCGTGCATGTAAAAACTGCATATTTCAAAATATATTGAAATGGTTTATATTTTTAAAATAACTCCCTCCCCCCCTTTTGACTTGCAAATTCTAACAGATGGCTATACATCAGACTTTAATTTCCAAAAGTTAGCAAAATACATGTGAGCTGAAGAGGATGATGGGATTGGGGTGGGGTAGAGGGCAGGTCAGTTTAAAAGTCAGATTTCTACAGTTAGTTCATGATCTGTAAAGTACTAATGAAGGAAATAGGGTTAAAAGAGAGAAGAGTTAAAAAAGAGAGTAGTTAGAAATGTTCAATGATCTTTCTAAAACATTACATCTTAGGAGTGCAGGAGACATGATAATATATAGTATGCTAGCAGTTTCTGAGATAATCATATGTATAGTAAAACAATGGTTCCCAACCTCTGACATGTCTGCCTTCCCTCCCCACCCCACTCGGGTATTTAAGGTTTTTGTTTTTGTTTTTCCTTTTAAGTAGATAAAGCACTTGGCTCTTCGTCTCCACCTTACAGGTTGGTCCCATCACTGTTTAACTCAAAATCAATATATGTATTCATTCTTACATTTTTATTTTATGAAATCCGAAACCCAGTTTACTGAGGACGGTTTGCGTTTCAGCCAAAGTTGGGACATGTGTGACTCAGTGAGAGGAAAACAGTTGACACAAGGAGCCACTTTGTTTGGTAAATTAATTCTTTTAGCAGTTTGCCAAGGTTGCGAACCACTGCTGCTGGAAATATGCTAGCACACTTTAATAAATAACTATACATCATCAGAATAAACAAAATTAGATTAAAGAGATTAAAGTCTGAGGAAGGAAGTTATTCTTATTAAACTCAGGTTAAAATAGAAATAATACCTTCTGGTTGCTTCAAAAGAAGGCTCAGATTCATTTACACTGCAAGTACGGCAA